TTTGCCATTACCCCCGAGAATATAACTGAAGAACCAAGCGGTGGGATGTTTTGGTATGGTGCAGTTAGGAATAGCCCCCTGTATTGGATTTCTGGGAGGTGCCACTAAGAAATGTGGCACAACCTCACCCAATGGAATTACTTCTGGAATGAGATATTGAGTAATGTGAATAATGTCACTATGGCCAGCTCTATGATACGAGTAGATCTTCCTTTTCGTATGAACTGAAATGGAGAAATATAATCCTGAACAGAGGCTCTATTTACCACTTAAGCCCTATTTTATGGTTTAAATGCTGACCTTGTATTGACCCTCAGTACAGGGCTGAATTTCACCCTACAGCAAAAATCTGCTGGCTAGAGCAGTGGATTGAAGAAATTGGGGCTAGACTTTTTACTATTTTCAAGACAATGAAAACATGCTTATTTTAGACAAAAAAATGTTTCTAATTTATGAGAATTTTACTGCAGAAAGGGGCTACTTCGGAGAAAGTCTTGAGATTAGAATTTCAGTTATATTTTTGGCAGGAGAGCAAGGAAGGCATTTCATTAACTTTTCACTGGAAGTTATATATGGAGGGCATTTGTGTACACAGCTGGGCAGCATAAAACAGGAGGGCTTTGTGTGAAAATATCCTGAAATGAAATTTCATTTCTGTGCAACTTGGATCTGCAGTTCCTGGGCTGCTGTGGCTGGTTTTGGATGAAGCCGTAGGAGGGCAGTGTTAGGCCCTCACACATTTTCTTTTGCAGTTGATGTAGAAATAGTGAACAGACCACTGCTGGTCCCTGTGCAAAATCAGTGTCACCTTTTACAGCTTTATGTCAGTCAGATAAGCTCCTGCCTGCTCCCACGTATCCATATGGCTGTAATCATCAAGTGATACCAAGAGATTCGTTTGTAGGGAACTCCAAAAGCCACATGCTGAGGCTGGTGTGAATTTAGCTCTGCTTTGACCTCTCTTCCCTCCAGATGGCTGCTAATCTGGCACTAAATCACCACCATGGTGGAAAGAGGCCCTGGTCCATGTGGAAGAAGCAGCTTTGTGCTGGTAGCTGTCTGTGTAAGGTGGGAGCATCTCTGAGTCAGCCCTTGGGAGTGTTCCTCATCACAGGGTTCTGCATTTCTAAAGGCTTGACTTGTGTAGCTTCCAGATTTCACAGTACCTTCTTAATAATTATGCTTGGTTAGGAGCCTGGAGAGATTTCTCGTTTGGGGTGTGACGGTCTGCTTTTGCACATCTTGCAAATACATGAAACAAGTGAGAACACATGCCCACGAAGAGGACATTTCTTTATTACCTTCAAGCTGCATTGGTCGTTCTTATACACGTATATTCATATTTTATATACTTTGTCACTTATGTCATTTTGTGCATGTCAGCCAAAGGTATATAGGTGGGGATAGTGCATGTGCTGGGGATTTCTGCTTTAGTGTTTTAGGGCAGAAATGAAGATTCTGCATCATCATCTGCAAGGTTAATTTCTTTGCAAAATATTTTGTAGACTTTGGCATGGAGATCAGTCTATCTCCATCCAAAACTGCCTCCCATCTCCAAAGACAAGCTTGTTCCCATGGGAAGAAACAAGCTGAGATAACTGGCTCCACTCCTACACAAAATAGGAGTCATTGTCTGGCTTTACTCCTATGTCCCTGGCTTCCCTTGAGTTGGTTCTCATCAATGCTAAGGTCAGAAAAACGGAACTACCTTTTCCTAGTGGTCGTTCATACCAGTTCTGGTTCATTTGCGCTTGATGGTCGGATGCATACCCTCCAAACACGGATTTTCTCTTCTGTAGTGTGATCTTTAGAGATAATAGTCCTGAGAAACATGCTATACTATCAGAAAAGATTGCTGGTATATATCCTTCACCTTGACACATCTTGGGATAGGTCTGTGATGATTTACCATCCTTGTTCACTCTCTCAGCACAGGGTATATCTCACTGTCCACACTTAAGTGTGAAGTGCCTTAGGAGGTACAGAGATGTTTAGAACTTAAAGTCTAGCAAACCTGGAGCACGCATTTACTAGTCTGCTTCCCTGTTTACATTTTGTTTATGCCATTATAGTTCTACAATCTGTTAGGTGCTGTGGAGGAACTCAGGCCCTTCACCAAACAAAAAGCTTGTGGGATATGCAAGAAATAAAAGGAGAGGACAAATATGCTGTTGCTCATTTAAAAAAAATACAGAGTCTAGGGCCATGATTATGTAGATTTTTCTCTCCAAGACTGTACTGGCTTATGCAACATTATTTTTTCCCATTTTCCTTTAACACTCCTCAGTCTTCTGGTGCACTCATGGCAGGGTGTGGGAGAGTGGCAGTGGGTGCAAATGACTTACTGAGAGGTAGAGGCATGAGTAGGACTACTTATGCTCTTCCTGCTGACACAATAAGATACAATCCTATACATGCAGCCTCAAGTTTTTCTGTAATACTTACCACAAGGCTGGTTTGTTTTCTGTTTTGCTTTGTGGAAAAAAATTTCCCTCAGAATGAGGCTTTGCTTTCTGCTTTTAGAGGCTTTGAGACAGAAGCAAAACATCTTCTTCCGAAAGATAAATAACTGGCAGCCAGATTAAAATCCCCTCTCCCTGCCATGATTAAACAGCTTCTACCATTGAAAACCAAAAAAGTAGTAATAGGCACATTATTTTGATGTTGACCCATTGCACTACCAGTCCATGACCTATTACTTAGCAATGCATTGGTTAAAAAAAGTGAAGTCTAGGAAAGGTACTAAAGCTGCAGCCTAGTCTATATTTTTTGTTTATTTCTGATACTATGTGGTTCATCGTTCTTTCTTTTAGAAGGAACAAATAATCAATACAAAACCATGAATAAAAATAACTTTTCTTTAACACTGGATGCTAAAAGAACATATAGTCTTCTTACTGTGCCTGATGGAAACAGTACAAGTCTGTTCTCCACAATTCGTTGTTTATTGGAATGCCTGAAATCTATACATGAGGTATTTTTAAAATATTTAAACATAGAAGTTAAGCTTCTGTTCCAGACAATTTGGTTCACCATATTCTAGAAATCCACTGTGTACCACAGAAGTGCTTCAAGCAAAGAAACAATAACAATTTTTTTTTAAAAGCAAACTTCAATATATGATAAAACAATGTCAATATTCTTATCTCAAGGAAAATATACTTATGAGACACATTCAGCTATTTATTGACTCAGCTGCTGTACTAAACCTTCAAGGCCCAATTCTGCTCTGTGGTACTTTAGAGAGAAGAAATGCCAACAGACAATGTTTGGCTCTTTCTGAAAGAGATTATGGCTGCTCCAAGAAGAAAACAATCAAAACATTACTAATGATGCAGAAACTCTGGATAGTGTCTCTCCTTAGGAAGGGGAGAAAGAAAACTTTGTGGATTAGCATCACTAAGGGAGATGAACTCAGGAACTTGCAGGTGTGAGAGATGCCACCTGGCTATTGGAGTAGGTCTGGACCAGGCGATAAATAACCATATGGGGCTCTGAGGGCCCATGTCATCGGTCTTATCCTGCCCAGAGACGTGGACCAGTTAAAATCCTCCCTACATTTACACCCCTTTTCTAAGGCAAAAATCTCTTGTCTCTCTTCTGATGGGGTAAAGATGCAGTTCAGTTAGGTGTTTGCTATTTACAAGTTAAAGTGCAATGTTATACTGTAGGATCAAACCTGGATCTCACTCAGTTGTATCACCCTCTGTAATGCTCAAACTGCAAATCATCCGCTTGCAGAGTTTTTACTGAGGTTAGCTGACACCTTGCAAGCAGAGGATTTTGGGTGGTCAGCCAAACAAAGTCTGCATGTTGGCCAGTCAGCTCTGCCTGAGCATGATTTCCATTCTGCGGAAATGCTGCATAAACAATGAAGACTGCAAGGCAGAGACATTAATTTAGATCTACTTTATTGCAAACTCTTTTGCAACTAAAAGATCTAACGTACTACATGAGCTTAAAATAGTGATGCACATCTTACAGATGACATAATAGTAGCTATAAATGGGCCTCTTTCGCAATACCCCGCTACTGAATGTTTTCATAATATGAGGTCACTTGTTGAATCTTCCCAAAATACTTTTGTTAGGATTAGAATATAGCTGTTCTCATTAAAAACTATAATTTACATTTAATCACAGATACTCAGTTTTTATCATGTGCATCTTGGAAGTCTGTGCTTTAAGCCTCTAATTCATGTTGTTTTTTTGTGTGTGTATGAAATACAGTAAAGTGACTGCTATGATGAGCAAACATAAAGGTGTAATAATCTGTGTACTAACTCATTAAATGATTTTTTTTTAGAGAGAGATATATTTAAGAACCTTTCCTCTTTATGTGCACAGGGATATGCACTAAGAAAGCCCTTACAATCGTATGTCTTTCTCTTCTAAAGTATTTTAATCAATGGAATGTAATATTTGAAATACCAGTATTTTGGTGCAAATGAGTTACTTAATACCTGTCATTTTTCAGCCTTTAAAACTCTATGCATGTTTTCTAGAACTTCTCTACCTCTGAGGGTCTGTACTTCATAAACTGCTGACAACTGATGGATGCTGGTTTATTCTAGGATAATACACTACCAAATCCATAGATTCAGGGTTGATCTTTATTTGTGTTTGAGAAAATCAAACAAATAATCCAAGTCAGTAATAGCCTGACTTAATAAAAATTTTCCATCAAAATTAAGATGATCCATACTTTCTAGTGGTTTGTAGTTCAGGTAAATAAAGCTTTCCCAGGAATGCAAGAATATCAGAAAAATGAGCTTTCACATTACTTTAAAATTTGGTCATTTAGGCCTTCCTGCACTGTAAGCAAATGTACATGCTTGTTTCATAGAAGTCAAGTTATGGAATTTGTGTGGTAGGAATTCCTGGCCATATTTAAGCTTTAAGGTATTCTTATAAGCCTTTTTCTTCAAATAAGAATTTTTAATAAATGAGAAATATCTCTGAACTCAAACCAATAACTAAGAACCAAGGAATGCAACTTACCTTTCTTCAGCCAAGAAATATTTTGCTTGTCATGTTCAAAACTTTCTGCTGGTTTGATTTTTACCTTGTCTGTATTGGCTTCTGACATCTATGGGGGAGAAAAGAATTTTGGGATGACAAGTTGTTTTAAAGAAAGTTTCTGATGAAGAAATGTATATGTTCTCTCTTTAGGTTTCAGCTATTATAAATCGTGCTTACTTATACAGACACACTTTTTCCTGCAGATTATTGATACTAGGTAATATCTGAGTCATTAAATTTATGTTCTGTTCCTAAATGCTTTATCAATATTACAATGTTGCTGTTTGCAGACAGATTCTTTTGTAATGTAACCATAATTTACCTTATGAAATGAATGAGTGATATGCTTATAGAATGCTGGTAATAGATGTACATATAACACATAGATTCAGTCTGGCTAAAAAAAAAAAGAGCCATCCAGGCTGCTGTTTATTGTGGTTCAAAGGTGCTGTAAAGCCTGCTGTCAGAGAGGTATAATTATATAAATAATGGTAAATATTTATAAAGATAACTTGAACAAAGTGTATCCAAAAAAGAGATCTTTACTGCCACTTGTGACAATTTATTTGCTGTAATGCAAAGAATCTCATGCAAGTTACAGTACCTGAGGGTATTATGTATACAGTAGCTATCAGCCCGTACACTGTGGTTTACTTCCATTGCCTGCTAAGAATAAGATTAGACTGTCCAGGCTTCTTCTAACTGCTTTATATTTTCATTGAATCCAGTTAGCAAAAGCATTCCTCTATTTTTACCTGTATCTCCCAACCAGGGGTGAAAGCAGCAGGGATCAGACGCCAAGGAGGAGTGCTTTCGGCCGAATCCCTCGCTGTGTGTTGATGTCCAGCATTCCCATACACTGACAAAACTGAAAGGATGAGCAGTGCACTCTCTGCCTGCCTGCTGTGTGGTGCTAGATTTGTCTTGCTGCCAGAATCAGACAACTTATTGCTGAGGGTTTTCTTTTTTTTTCCCCTTTTTGTTTGCTGTGTCGGGTAGGAAAGGAGGGGGGTAATCAGCATTCTAACATTAGTGGAGGGATTAAAAAAAACCTTCCAAAGCTTTGCAAGAAGAGAAATCGGTTTAGAAAGGTTATTACTGCAGTTCATAACCCAGTGAATCTGCAAGAAGAGGAAGAAAGTAAAAAGGGAACCAGGAAATTAATAGCAACAAATCAGTAAAATGTGTCAATGTTTTGGCTAAATTTAAGTTTAAAATACTGAAGTTATTAGAAAGTATGTAGAAAATTATACCCTGAATGCCTATTTACAGCTGGCACTTTGACAAAGAAATGGTCTCATCCTGTGAGGAGCTCAGTGCTGTGATGCTTCTGAGCTCAGCAGGGTGAAATTCATCATCACCTAGGAGGGCAGGTCTGCAGAGATGAACAGTCATTATCTCCCTTGCGACAAGGTTGGGTGGTCCATAGTGGAGACAAGCCCTTGTGCTGGGTGGGCTTGTCAGTAAGCAGCACAGAGGGCAAGGGGAAAGTCCAGAGTACTCCATACATTGAAGGCACCAAAAATTTAAGGTTAGTAGTTGGCATTAAAAATTCTCTTGCTGTAGTTAGCAGCACTATCGCTGCAAAGTTAGTAGGAGTAGGGTGAAGCCTAAAGAGAGCAAGATTTTAGGATGTTCAAATGTTGCATCTTACTTTTTCTATAGGGCAAGAGGAAAATAACACTCTGCTTCCCAGAACTGGATTTTGAAAATGGTGGTTGCAGAGCACATACAGAATTACTCCGTTATCTTACTTTTTAAGCAATATTTACAAAATTTCAAGCAGCATTTGTCACTAGATACTATAATCCAAGATCCCAGTGCTTAAGTGTGGCCAATAAATAATAACATACTCCCTCTGTTATGACAATTATCTTCGTCTACTCTCCCATCACATGTCATTCTTGCAAGAAAGAAATGTTTTTCTCTTTTTTTTTTAATCTCCTGTGCCAACATAACTGAGATTCTTCTACCATCTTTAGCTAATTGTGAATTGCATGGTAAGTGCCTACTTACATCTCCAAATTGCAATGATTAGTCTTGCATGGTTTGAAAACCTATTTTAAGCAGGGTACTTTGGGAATAATTGCAACCACAGGGGGAAAACGTCTAGGGGTAATATTTTAAGACCTTTTTTCCATTCCCCTTGGATGTAGCTTTGAGAATTGTGTATCTTCAATTGCAGCTCCTCTCTTTTCCCAGAAACACTTATTTTTTTCCATGTTGTTACACCTGCAATGCTTTAAATTTAATCTTTGGTGTTGATTCTTCAGCTGGATTTGTCAGGGCAGGCTATAGAGCTCCTGCTGTGTCCTAATAAAATCAGCTAGGCTCCACATAGATCCATCTAGACGTATGTGATTGTGACTTGGACCTGGTGCTACTGTGCACTTCAGAAGCGCTGTTTAAAATGAAGATATGGGTTGTTTTCAAAACAAACTAGCAAAAAAACCATCTTTCTCTAGTTCATTTGGCCCCACCTCCCTGTTTTTCTAGAGAATTTGTCAGAATCCTAATTTCTCCCAAAGAAAGTAAAATAGACAAGAAAACTCCCTCCAAACCCAGAGCTCTGAAAGCTGCTGTTGCTTGAAATAACTTCCCCTTCAGTCTTGTTCTTTAGGGTTTTTCTCACTTAAACTCTCCTTGAAACTAGAAAGAGCTAGGACTGAGGTAGATTCAGCCTCAACGAGTATAAGAAACCAGCTTTGCTGGCAGCCCATTGCTAAATGTATCCCCAAACCCAAGCAAACAGAAGCCTGGCTTTATATCTGCGCTTCAACAAAGATAATGCAGATTACTATTGAGATGACTACTTCATCTGATATTCTCAGCCGAGATGCCCTGTAGGACCCCTCTGAGTGTTGGTAGGAAGCCTAAGTGCAGAAGTTACCTAACCTCAACCTTGGGAAATAGCCCACCATTTGGTTAAGAAAACAATAACCAACTTTCCTAGTTGGAGTATTCATCATTGCTGATATTCAATTAACGGTCCTAATGTCTTAAATCCAGGGACATTAAATGTAACCTTTCTTAATCTTGATCAACTTCAGTTTTCTACTGAGATGTGTTCCCGTGTGCTATTTTTTGCCTCTTTTAATTAAGTTATTTTGGATAAATGCATCAATATTTCTGTTTCCTAATCAATCTTAAAGCAGTTAGAGGAAAGGCAGGCTTGCCATGCATTCTTAGTAATGCCAGGTGTTGCAAAGCAAGAAAAAAGATGTTATGAGAGAAGGTCATTAATATATTGAGTAAACTTGTTTCTATTAAAGCTATAATTGAATTTTTAAAGCCCTGGCCCATTTTAAACACCGAACTTTAGTTTATGGTTTGATAATTCATTTCACTTTTATTTTATAGGTTTTCTTTATAGCTGTTAAATAGCTATGGGCTATCACTTGCTCATTTTCCTTCCAGATTGTGAAATAGGGTATTTATATGGAGGATAACAAAAAATAATCATAATGCCAAAATAGATGTGATATCAATCAGTTGCCAGATAAATGTACTGTATCAAGTGCTTGTTGAGATTCAGGAGTATATTTTTCTGGTCTGCTCAACTGGGAGTGCATTCAAGTCTTTGCAGAGTTAGAGAATAGGAAACATTAATAGACTGTAATAACCATCAAAGCAGGGGAAAAACTTCTTATTGCTCCTAGCAAGCATCTAAACTGTCAAGGCTTCCTCATGTACTTAATGTTAGGTCAGGAGTCCAGAATCAGACCCTCTCCTGAGTCTCAAGGAGGATGTGTAACCATAGCTAGGAGAGGTTTTGGGTACATTTATGGGTATAGTATTTACAGCATGATACTTCACTACCAAAAGTGACTTACTGAGGATGTGAACTGTGTGCCCAGAAGTTGAATTTTCCACAGCACAGCATTACATTAAGCAGTTATTTCTTTCTTGCACAACCCAGGTAAAATGTAGCCACGTGTCCACTGGCAAGTGGCGCTCTGTACCTTTGGAATACCCCACACTGCAGTAAATGTGGCTTAAGGAAAAAAATAATCCTATGATGAAACTATGCCTTTGCTTCCTTTTACACCCTGGGGTGATCATTTCCAATAATAAAGTGAGTATAATGTGATGTGCCCTGTCAAAGTTAAGGAATCTCTTCTTGATCATGTATCTGTAGGTAGAATATTAAGTTGTGGGAACATGATATACAGCCAAATTATTCTGGTGATTGCATGTAAAATGCATGGTTTTTTAGCCGAACAGTCATGTCCTGTGAGTGCTTCAAATGCAAAATAGTCTGTTTATAGAGACTACCTCAAACCAGCACTGACAAATGATCTATATGCTGCAGAGGCTCTGAGCAGTACTGAGACAGTAGGGTTTTGTTCCCCATTGTTCTGCCTCTTAGGCACTCTAGATAATTTTCCAGTGACTGTGTCCTGCAAAGGGAGGCATGAGGCTTTATTTCACTTTTCCACTCAGTGCCACTGTAGGTCAGCGAATGTCTGGGAACATGCTTAAACTCGAGAATGGAATAAAGCTTGAAAAGAGTTGCAAAGGCAGGTTAGAATAGAGCTTATCAATAAGTAGTAGATTAAGAATGCTCGATATTTCCACTGAACAGTAAAAAGGGAGTCTTAGTGTCTTTAATCTTCCAAGAGGGTAAGAGGGGGGTTACTTGGTGTCTGTGCTAAAAAGTGATGATGGGGACAACGTTAGGGTGAAAGGCAAGTGTGAAATGAAGTTGAAAGGATAATAGTATGGTGCTGGGATGGGGAAGGCAGAAGGACACAGCCTCTAAACCTGGAGCCACAGAAGCCCCATCCAAGCTGGGAAAGGGCCTCTGAATGCAGCCGTATGATTTGGCCATCTTCCCTCCTACCAGCAGAAAACTTAAAGGCCCCAGTCAAAATTAAAGCCTAGACTTTATAATGGTTTTACAGTAACCTACAAACTATGTGTGCTTTTATATATTCTGGCTTCAAGCAGAAAATCTCCCATGCTGTTTCATTCTGTCCATCATGGGCCAAGTTCTCCATTACCTCTGTGTGTGCTGTTTTTATAGATGACTCTGTATTTCCTTGCCATTTAGGTGGGTGCATTTGAGTGGGAAGTACCTAAACCCGAGAGCTTTTTAAAAAGTTGATATATATTATGTTATGGGACAATTTGCCCTTTTAAGGTCCGTTTGATGCATTTGGAAAGGTGGGTTGCAGAGGTCCCAGGGGTGGACCCCTCCAGGCACTTGCTGCAGGAGATGTTTCTAGACAAATATTTTAAAACCTCTTGGGCATTACAACAAAAATCAGGAAAGAGTTGATGCATGGAAAATAGCAGAATAATTGCTTCAATATCACAGTGTCTACTGGTATAAGGGAGACAGGGACGTAACCATCTCATAGAAAAAATATTTCCTTTGGCACATGGGTGTAACAGACAGTAGTTATATGACTTTTATGGGAGTTTACAGGAGTTTGTGTAACAGGTATAAAAAAATAAAGATAGTATCTTCATTGCAACTTTCTAGAAACTGGCATCTTGGCTTATTATAAGGCCCCTAGTTCGGTATTTTTACAGGAATTTTACAGAATATCAGGAGACCATTTACTCCTTGTTTAGCTTAATGCAGGGTTGACTTACATCTCCTTGCTGATACTTGGACAACCTACTCTTGAAGTCCCATGAAGATACATAAGTACATGCCGCGTCCAGGAGTCTACTCCAGTGTTCTTCTATCCTGATAACAAATACAAAAGCATTTCTTGATGTCTAGCCTAACTCTTCCTTTGCTGTAGATTCAACTGATCACCTCTTGTCCTTTCCATTGTGCTTGTGCACAGCTAAGTTCTCTATCCCTTTGTGACAATCCTTTCAGCAGATAAAGGAATGTTATCACATGTTCCCTCAGCTTTTTTCAACACATATTTAGATCACATTCATTAGC